TATGTATATGTATATGTATATGTATATGTATATGTATATGTATATGTATATGTATATGTATATGTATATGTATATGTATATGTATGAATATGCATGTATGAATGAGGAATTCGAATGGTGGGTAATAAGCGCAGCACACACCCAGAAACATTTCATAGTTATTTCTTTTGCAAAGGAGCAACTGTTCGTCTGCTCAGTGGTCAGTGCTCTCTCTCTCTCTTTTTCTATCGTATCTCTTTCTCGAATGCGTTCTTCTACTCGCTCCATCAGTTGCTGCTACTGTTGCATATTCGGGTCAGCTGCTGGGCTCTGTTCTTTACAAAATGTAGAATTTGAAAATCCTAATGAAAATGGAAAGAGGAGTAAAAGTTCGAACTGGGCAGCTGGGGCTAACTCTGGTTTTTGCTGCGACTCCTGCACCGAGTGTGGCGTCTTTCACATGGTTACCGGCAAAAGCAAGAGTGAACTGCACTTGTTTCAACAACCTTGACATAAGTTTGGCCTTCGTCCTTCAAGTTGGTCATTGTAAACCTCAATTTGTTGTCGACAGCTTTAGTTTTATTGTAATTCAAGTATTCTTTTGCACATTCGACTCTTTTTATACCCTGAACCCATTGCAAATGGGAAATCAGGGTATAATGGTTTTGTGAAAAGTATATAATAGGCAGAAGGAATCATCGTAGACCCCATAAAGTATATACATATATTCTTGATCAGCACGACGAGCTGAGTCGCCCTGTCCTTCTGTGCGTCCGTCCATCCGTACGTCTTAACGCGTTGATCTCAGAAATTTGAAATTTTCATATGTATTTTATAGAAGCTCGAGTTTTGTTGAAATGTACCGCCACCCCTTAATCCATCCGCTCACCCACATATTTGTAAAAGGCATATTTTAAATATTAAAGACTTATGCTTTAGCAAGTGCATGCATACCCATGTTATAATCATAATCTGAAATCATGAATCATAAAGATAGTCCACCCACAAGAAAAGTTATTAAATAATTTAGCATAGTAATCCCACACTGCAGTCAATGCATATTTATGCGTGCGTGCGTATGACTGTGTGTGTGCATATGCGAATAATTATTATCAGTTGCGCGAAGGGTTCAGGGGATCTCGTAGCCGGGCAGTCTCGACTGGAGCTTTCTTACTTGTTTATAGTTGAGTTAAATGAAATAGCCCTGCACATGTCGTTATACCGCTGCATCTATCTAAGCCCCGAACTTTTCCCTTTTCCCAGCCTGTGTTTTGCTTACACTCGCTAAGTATTTCAGGTTAAATTTGTGTTTTTCCGTGACGAAAAACTGGTCTGATTTAATCTGTTGTAATTGCACTTTTTCTGCGGGTTTTCACGTCCTAGCAGCCTGCATGCCCCGATAACGGAAGTAACTTGACAACAGTGCGTCCGGATTCCGATTTAACTGGACCGCCCATTAGTTGGCGCGTTGTCGGCTGTCATTTACAATCCAGTTAGGATCTTCAAGCATTTGTAGATTCGCATAGCTAAGAAGGCCAACTCAAGGACGAGTCCCCCTTACGGCTTGGTGACTCCAGCTTCATGCTGAGCATGTCTTACGCTAGTGCTAGCCTCAAACAAATCAATAGCATGCCGGATTGTCTAGCCGGCTGGCTAGTCAAAAATCGATGTCTAAATTGGACGATAAGCATATACTGTATGCTCTCTTCATACAAGTGTATGTGTATGTACGTGCACATTAATGTATGCATAGCACCCTTATGTATTTCTGCAGACGCATGTATGCATGCATGCATATTCGGTGAATTTCCTGCTTGTACATACAAGGGCGGACATGAGTATATGAATGCATCAGTATATATAGTGTATGTATGTGTGTGTCTGGAAGAGAGAAATGCAATTGCACATAAATGCAACGTCGTAGCAACAAGCGGAAATGCATCGTGGTACACACACGTACACACACAGATACTTACGTACATAGACATAAACTGTCCAGACAGTCGTAGAGCGGGTGACCGAAGATAGAAAGAGACAGAGAGGGATTGTGTGAGAGAGATCGTAGATTCAGGCGTGTAAGAGACAGCAAAGCCATGGAAAGTAAGCATTATTATTGTGCACAAATTCACAGGCAGCAAGGGAGAGAGAAAGACAGAGAGTGAGCAGGAGATTGGAGGGGAGGGACAAGAGAGTCTGGGGCTTAGGGTTGGGTATTGTTTCTGGCCAAATAAGGGTTGTTGCTGTGTTCGTGTGTGTGTGTGTGTGTGTGCATGCGTGTATGCGTAAATGTGTGTAGATAGTGCAGCAGGAACTGACTGAACTTCAATGCAACTGCACTCGGGGCTGCATTCAACGTTGTCGACATTGGTGTCGGCGTCGGCGTTGGCGTTGGCGTCGGCGTCGGCGTTGGCAAAACACTGCAACATGGAAACGTGTGTGCGGATCGGGGTAACGCGTGAGCGCGTGCTTGTGTGAGGCCAAAATTCAACTGCAATTGCAACGGCAAAGGCAAGTGCAACTGTCGCTGTAGTTGCAGCGCGACCTCTGGCGTCTGCTGTAACTGACGTCAGCGTCGGCGTCGATGTTAGCCTACCACTGGTCGTTCTAAATGTTGATGTTGGCTTTTTGAGGAAATTGTTGAGCAAAATACTTTAGCTCGATAAAGCCAGTTTGACTTTTATACTAACTATGCACATGTTCTTCAGTAAGTAAAAGGCCATCCGTATTTCTCATACATATAAACACAAAATTTTAATTTTTATTGGTGAAATACATATATATATAAGTATGCGCGACACACGTTATGGCTCCGCCAGAATTGATTGGGTCTAAATTGACAGCGATTCAACCTTACCTCTCGGAGGCATGGTTGTTCGCTGGTGAAAAGCTCTCAGCTAATGCTTACATTCCGCCAACGAATACTGGAGCTCATCAGTCTTCTACACTGCATAGGATTTGGATGCAACCGGATCCACATTGGCAACCAAGTCTGCTTCTGCTGACGTCGCGAGGTGTGTTCGCTGCTGTCATTGACGGCGACGCCGGCTCCAACGTTGACGTCGCTGCTGTTGCTGGCGTTTATCACACATACGTTTTTATCTTATAATAAGCCCAACGAACGCTGCAAAGCCCTCGACGTGGACGTCGCACACATCGACAAATCCATAACAAAATCATTAACTGCTGTTACGGCACAATATATATATATATATATATATATATATATATATATA